GTGACGCCGCCGGCGGGTCCCCGGCGGCCCCGCGGGCGCCGGCGGCGTCACTCACGCCACGTCCGTCACCGTCTCCATGACGTTGATCTCGCACATGAGGCTCTTGGTGAGCCAGTCGAGCGCGGCCACGTGGCCCCGGCGGCCGCCCAGCAGCAGGTGCCTGGGGACAAACGGGGACACGCGGTGACGACGCGGGGAGGGGACGCGCGTGGGGACAGGCCCGCGCGGCCGCGCTCACCGTCCGGGCCGGGTGTAGTCCAGCCGGTAGGGCCCGAATTGCTCCAGTCTCAGCTCAAAGTGCTGCCAAAGGGGGCGAGGAACAAAGCGAGGTGACGCCCCTGTTGTCCCCAACGTCCCCCGGCGTCCCCTCGGCGGGGCCGCCCCACCTTGGCGGCGCTGGCGATGTCCACGGCGGCCGCGATGTCCCCTTGGGTCACGGTGCAGGTGTCCTCGCCAGGGTCGGCCTCTAGGAAGCTGCGGTGACGCGGAGGTGACAAAGGGACACGGGGGGACAGAGGGATGTGGGGGGACAAAAAGGGACGTGGGGGACAGCGAGACGTGGGGGATACAGAGATGCGGGAGTGACACAAAGCAGGACAGTGACACGGGACAAACAGGGACATGGGGGTGACATAGGGACACAGAGGGACACGGGGTGATGGGGGACATGGGTAACACAGATGTGACATAGGGGACACAGGGGACATGAGAGGGACACACATAGGGATGACAAACATGGGGGTCACGTGGGGGGATACAGGACCCGGAGGGGACACCAGGGTGGCACAGGGGACACCAGGGTGACACAGGGGACCTGGGGGTGACACAGGAGTGGCACAGGGGACCCGGGTGACACAGGGGACACCCAGGGGACCTGGGGGTGACCCAAGGGGACCTGGGGGTGACACAGGGGGGACCCAGGGGGGACGCAGGGGACCTGAGGGTGGCACAGGGGTGACACAAGGGACACAAGGGTGACACAGGGGACCTGGGTGACACAGAGGTGACCTGGGGGACCCAGGGGTGGCACAGGGGACCTGGGTGACACAGCAGTGACCCAGGGGACACGGGGTGACCCAGAGGACACGGGGGTGACCCAGGGGGCACCCGAGGGTGGCACAGGGGCCCTGGGTGACACAGGGGGGACCCAGGGGACACGGGGGGGACCCAAGAGACCCGAGGAAGACACAGGGGACCTGGGTGACACAGGGGGGACCCGGGGCATCCGAGAGTGGCACAAGGGACCTGGGTGACACAGCGGCGACCCAGGGGTGACCCAGGGCACCCAGGGGTGACCCAGAGGACCCGGGGGTGACGCGGGCACCCACCCCGGCTCCTGGGGCAGCAGCAGCTCCAGGCGCGCCGCCCGCGTCGCCGCCGCCTCCT